AACGAAACGAAACGAAACGAAACAAAGAGAAACGATTGAAACGAAAGGAAATGAAACAAGTAGCCACGATCGAAACGAAAGGAAACGAAAGAAATAGACACGATCGAAACGATTGAAACGACACAGAAAGAAAAGTAAGCGGAAAGCGCGCCAGCCGAAAGCAACGGTATCGTATATAAATCTGTTTCTTACCTAGGAGGAACCTGATCACTGGACGAGGCACTGCGACGATACGAGGTTTACGAGCGGAAAGAAGGTGTATCGGTAGGTCGGTGATCGACGAGGAGCCGAGCCGAACGCCGAGAAGTAGCCGTGCTTCCAGGTGGAAGCTCCGCGGCCGATTGAGAGCGTCGAGAGCAGTAAGGGTGCATCTCACCCCGATTCCTCCGGCTCGGGGCCGTCGCACTCTCTGCCCGGCGTCGCTCGCGTCCGCGTTCGAATTCGCGTTCGCGAATCCGCCGCTTCTTGGCCCGTCACCCAATGCCCGTTGTTCGCCGCACGTTGCTCGTTGCCCGTTGCCCGTTGCCCGTTGCCCGTCACCCGCGTCGTCCTCTCCGCGCGATCCTCCAAGATCCAGAGTCCCGCGGCGAGCGAAAGCGCATGGTCCATCGCGCCTACGAAAGCCCCCACTGTTCTCCTTTGCTACCGCCCCTTTATCGTTTCGCCTCGTTCACCGATCCGTTTTCCACAAATACTCTCCTCTGCTCTCCTACCCACGCTGCTACTCTTCTCTCCGCTCCAACGCTTTGCTTTCCTTTCCTTCTTCCGTTTTTACACCAATTTTTCTCCTCTGCTCTTCGTTGTGGTTTTCCTCCATCCTTCTTTTCTCTCCTACTCGTTCCGGTTTTCCTCCATTTTTCAATCTTTCCTCCTCATTCTGTTTTCCTTCCACTTTTCGTTCTCTCCTCCCTTGACCGCTCCTCTTCCCTCTGCTCCACCACTTTTCCTTTCTTTTCCTCCTTCCGTTTTTACACTCCTTTTTCTCCTCTACTCCTCGTTCCGTTTCTCCTCGCTGTTTTCCTCTCAGCGTTCACGCCGTTCAAGCTATACATCTGACGTTCTTACTCTTTCAAGCACCGGTTCCTCATTCAAACAGGAAGAGGAGAGAGTACCGTGTGTTGCCGGGAACCTGGCACCTGTTACAGGGAAAACTCGTGGTCCCTGGAGAATGACTATCTCGCGAATGTCTCTCGTAGTCCAAACGGATAAAGATTTCGGAAATGAACAGAGATCCGACGTACTTATATACATATGTTCTCAGGGGAGGGTTCGATTTCTAAGCTGTCTATCAGTCAATCGCTTATGTTATTTTAGAAAATATTAGATAGGGTTTGTTACGGTATGACCCAATGTGGTAGTCATCACTGTCATTGTGGTTATCTCTACCCGTTACACACTCGCGACATAAGGGAGACAGTCGCTCCAAGAAATTCAATCGCAAGTCGGTAAACGATCCGCGCAATGGAGAGCACGAGCGTCTCGGCCAATCATACGAAAGTGCCAAGTTCCCTGCAACGAGCCTTCCGCTCGATCGAAGGATTCGATCGTCAGGCTCTCATCTCGAAAAAACAGCGCGACGAAGAGCAGAAGCGCCTCGGCCAATCACATGTCAGAGGGGCGTGCGCCTTCGAATCCGACCACTCATACAAAAGCGCCAAGTTCCCTGCAACGAGGCTTCCGCTCGATCGAAGGGATCGATCGCCACTCTCTCGTTTCGACGGAACAGCGCGCCGATCGCGAGAAGGAATTCAACGATAGAGACCATTAAGCCGTCGACGCGGGGGATCACGGGAGGAATGAGAGCTCGCGGCTCGCGGAATGCGGCCCGAGGTCAGAGGGAACGAGGAGCTCTCCAAGAATTCTCGACACGCGAACCGGCATCGGGGCTTTATTAAACCGCCTTTTATCACGTTCCAGAAACGGAGGCGGCTCCGCCGTCTCTTGAGCAGCTATCGCCGTCGAAGGGTGGAGCGTGGTCGATCGATCAGCAGCCCCGAACCGACGCCTCGAACGACGAGCGATGTAAATCATTCGG